AAGAAACAACAAAAATTAAGGAAATGAAAAAACAAAAAATTGTGATATAAAATCGAGAAAATGAAAAATAAAAAATCAGGAAAATGCAAAATAAAAATCGGGGAGTTGAAAAATTGAGAGGACGGAAAATTGAAAAAGGGCACAATTAAAAATCGAGAATGTGAAAAATGGAAAAATAAGAAATTGTAATATTGCAAAATTATCAAATTTGGAAGTTGACAAATTGTAAAATTGAAAAATCAAAAATAAAAAAACGAAAAAGTCTATAATAAAAACTTAAAAAATGACACAATGAAAATCAAACTTGAAAAAAATTGCTAAAAACCTGAAAATTTGAAAAATTTAATGAAGGAAAAATTATAAAATCGAAAGAAACAACAAAAAATAAAGGAAATCAAAAAAAGGAAAATTGTGATATAAAATCGAAAAAGTGGAAATTAAAAAATTGGTCTAAAGAGTTTAGACAGTACTTCCCTCGCTGTCGGAAACTTGACGACTGCATGCCTATTGTGTTTTTTTTCTCATTACATTTTTGTAGTGGGAATTTAAAAAAAAATTGCGATGACGTCATCAACATTTTTGCAAGGACACGTATATCAGTTGGGATAGATGTAGTGTAATACTAAGAATAAAATTATTATATTCTCAAATTTTCGGGAAAATGAATTGGGTCGTTTTGAATATTGATTTGTAATAATCAATAAAATAACGAAACAATTTACTCACGTATACGTATCAGAGGCAACTGAAAATCGTGTATGTATAAACATTCTTAATTTAAGATGACAGGCGTAACAGCATACGTGAGAGTCAAACAGAGAAACTGTAAACAAAACGACCATCGGTTTTATTGCTTCGACTTCCGCTTATTATATAAAACATTGGGTTTTATTTTAATTCTTGACGGTGAAATTCACAATTGGTTGATTATAAACATGTCTATTTCACATTCGCGGAACCAAGTGAGCGCATAAAACAAATGCAGGTCTGTAATGTTAAAGTCGATGTAAATAAGCGTGCTACCCTTATGTTTCAACCGAGTTTTTCCTTTAACAAATTTTGTGTCTACCAAATTGGGTTGGTTGGGGTGTAATACTAATAATAAGTGTTGCCTTTAATTTAATCAATAAAATAAATTGACTTCATTAATTTTTTTGAACCACCTCTTAAGAAAATCTAAAAAATATGAATGGAATGATAAATCACAAGTACAAACTCATCATATTTTTTGTATTTTAGATAGGATTTATTCAGCAAAATTTAAGGGTGACGTCATCAATTTTTTTAGGAGGGATGAATAAATACATTTTGAACAAAAGTTTACCATGATTATAATAACTTTAAAATATTCCCAAGATTTCAAAGCATTCGGTTTTGTAATTCCTGATTAAATCGATAAAATAAAATAAATTCACGCCTTCATTATTTTTTTTGAGTCACCCTGCATATGCAAATCCAAAAATATGAATGGAATGATAAATCACAAGTACAGACTCATCATATTTTGTACATTTTAGGTACGATTTATTCGGCAAACTTTTGAACTGACGTCATCAGTTTTTTGTAGAAGATAACAAAATATATTTTGACTAAAAATTTATTATGCTCTTTATAACCTTAAAACATCTGCAAGATTTCAAAGCATTCGGTTTTGTAGTTCCTGATTAAATCAATAAGATAAATTTACGCATTCATTAATTTTTTTGAGTCACCCTGTATATGCAAATCGAAAAATTTGAATGGAATGATAAATCACAAGAAGAGACTCACCATATTTTGTACATTTTAGATAGGATTTATTCAGCAAAATTTTGTGGTGACGTCATAAATTTTTTAGGGGGGACGACCAAATACGTTTTGATCAAAAATTCACCATGCTTATGATAATTTTAAAATATCTTCAAGATTTCGAAGCATTCGGTTTTGTAGTTCCTGAGTAAATCAGTAAAATAAATTTACGCTTTCATTTATTTTCTTGAATCACCCTGTATATGCAAATCCAAAAAATATGAATGGAGTGATAGATCACAAGTACAGACTGATCATATTTTGTACATTTTAGATATGATTTATTCGGCAAATTTTCGAGCTGACGTCATCAAGTTTTTGGAGGGGATAAGCAAATATATTTTGACTAAACATTTATTATGCTCTTTATAACCTTAAAACATCTGCAAGATGTCAGAGCATTCCGTTTTGTAGTTCCTGATTAAATCAATAAAATATATTTACGCATTCATTAATTTTTTTGAGTCACCCTGTATATGCAAATCCAAAAAATATGAATGGAGTGATAAATGACAAGTACAGGCTCATCATATTTTGTACATTTTAGAGATGATTTATTCGGCAAACTTTCGAGCTGACGTCATCAAGTTTTTGGAGGGGATAAGCAAATATATTTTGACTAAACATTTATTATGCTCTTTATGACCTTAAAACATCTGCAAGATTTCAAAGCATTCGGTTTTGTAGTTTCTGAGTAAATCAGTAAAATAAATTTACGCATTCATTAATTTTTTTGAGTCACCCTGTATATGCAAATCCAAAAAATATGAATGGAGTGATAGATCACAAGTACAGACTCATCATATTTTGTACATTTTAGATATGATTTATTCCACAAACTTTTGAGCTGACGTCATCAAGTTTTTGGAGCGGATAAGCAAATTTTTTTTGACTAAAAATTTATTATGCTCTTTATAGCCTTAAAACATCTGCAACATTTCAAAGCATTCTGGTTAGCAGATTAAAAATTAAATTTCAAAATGTTGTTTTATAATTTTGATTTTTTTTCCAAAAATCTGGACGTTTCGGGTGAAAAGTCGATTCAGAGTTGTAAACTACATGTGTAGGACTATGTTATTTTATACAATTGAAAACCCATTTACTATGTACAATTTTGAAGTGACGTCAGCGCATTAGTGGTGGGGATGATTAGACAAATTTTGGTTAGCGTTTTACCATCTACATGATATTCTTAATATAAGTACAAAATTTCACAACAATCGGTCGAGTACTTTCGGAGATTATCTGTCTAATAAAAATCCGGGACAACAGACGGACAGACGGACGGACAGACGGACGGACAGACGGACAGACAGACAGACGGAAATGGGAGACCTATTTTTTCGTCTTCTAGGGGTCATGAAAGATCGAGAAAACGTAAAAGCAGAGAGTCGGCCGACGGACTCGATTACAATACTTCCTTTGCTTACGCTCGGGAAGTAAAAATCGGGAAAATGATAAATAAAAATCGGAAACAAAAAATTGGAAAAGGGAAAAATTAAAAATTGAGAAACTGAAAAATCGAAAAATGAAAATCTGTAATATTCAAAAATTGCCAAATTGAAAAACTGATGCAAACCGAAAAATTGAAGGAACGAAAAATTGAAAATTTTGGAAGTCGAGAAATTGTAAAATTGAAAAATCAAAAATAAAAAACGAAAAATTACAAAATGAAAACTTGAAAAATCTTAAGAATCGAAAAAGTAAAAAATAAAAAAAAAGAAATATTGCGAAATTGAAAATTTGAAGAAACGAAAAATTGAAAAATCGAAAGAAACAACAAAAAATAAAGGAATTGAAAAAATGAAAATTTGTGACATAAAATCGAGAAAATGAAAATTAAAAAAATCGGGAAAATAAAAAATAAAAATCGAGAACTTGAAAAATTGAGGAAACGAAAAATTGAAAATAACAAAAATTAAAAATTGAGAATGTGAAAAATCGAAAAATGAGAAACTGTAATATCGAAAAATTGCAAAATTAAAAAATTGCAAGTCGAAAAATTGAAAAATTTAGAAGTCAAGAAACTAAAATTGAAAAATCAAAAATAAAAAAACGAATAAGTTTATGATGAAAACTTGAAAAATGTCAAAAGTGAAAATCAAACATGAAAATTTGAAGAAACGAAAATTTGAAAAATCGAAAGATTAAAAATTGAAAAACTTAAAATTCGAAAACGTGAAAAATAAAAAAAAGAAATATGTATTGTAAAATCAAAATATTGAAAATTAAAGAAACTGAAAAACTGGAAATCCAAAAACTGCACGTTGAAAAATTTTAAACGTGGAAAATCATGGAATTCAAAAATCAAAGCCTGAAAATTTGAAAAATTGAATAAATAAAAAATTGTAAATCGAAAGAAACAACAAAAAAATAAAGGAAACATCGCCAGATGGATCTCTTTACTGCGTTATCAGCAAAAAATCTCTAAATCGAATCTTACAATTATCTGACAAAACTGAATATATTATACCGGACTTCAAAAGCGAGGAAATGACTTTAGACCATTTTTTTTAATTCAATAATTTACATTGAGTATCAAAAATAAAACACCGATAGCCTTCGAATAATTTTGAATCAGGGTTATACAAAACGAGTAAAATTTGAAGCCTCTTTTCTCAGAGTCGTCATTTTTGCATGTTTAATTTTTTTTTACACAGAAAACAGAACTGAAAACCAAATTTTAATATAAGAGGGACAAAATATGTCTAATAAGGATGCAAATCTAAAAAACATGAATGAAATGATAAATCAAGTACAGACTCATCATATTTTGTACATTTTAGATCGGATTTATTCGGCAAACCTTTGAGCTGACGTCATCAATTTTTGGAGGGGATACGCAAATATATTTTGATTAAAAATGTAATATGCCTATCATAAATTTAAAACATCCGCAAGATTTCAAAGCATTCGGTTTTCCACATTCAAAATTAAATTGCAAAATGTTTTATAATTTTGATTTTTTTTTTTTTCAAAAATCTGGTTTCGGATAAAAGTTATATAAAAGGATATTCCTAATATAAATACAAAATTTGACAACAATCGGCCCAGGACTTTCGGAGATTATCTGTCTAATAAAACTCGGGACGGCAGACAGACAGACAGACAGACAGACAGACAGACAGACAGACAGACAGACAAACAGACGGAAGACCTATTTATTCTTACTCGGTAAGTAAAACTAGATTTAAGTGCTCTGTAAATGCATTTATTCTTTTTCAATCATCGAATACAATAATCATTTACACAAAGAGATAATATTATTAACAAACAGTATTTTCAGCATTTGTATATCATTTTAATACCTAACAGTCTTTAAAATATTGTACATATTGTACTCTTTCATTTAATACTTACAACAGACTGCCTTTGCGTCAACATCAAATGACATAATCTCAATGCATGCGCAAGAAAATTACTCAACCTGGCAAGTACATTACAAAAGCTCGGTAAGCTCTATAACATGTAGTTTGTCTATAAATTAAAACCGTTTAAAAACGAAGAGTTCTACTGAACGTAATTACTATATCACAGGATACGGCTCGCACTCACGCGAGACATAAAAACGTAAAACTCCAATGGCGGAAGATTCGTGTATAACCCAACTTACACAGAAACCTTCGTATCAGTTCTGATCCTAATCAAAAGTGCACACGATTAGCTTAATTATAGGCTACACTTCATAGAAATAAATACTCTTAATTGTACTAATAATGCACGTTTCGATGTATAATATCCATAAATCGCATACAAAAAATATATGTTATACAATAAAGTATTTTTAGCTAAGTACACACTGTTAAAACAAAGCACACAAAGTACAACGTATGCCGTTACAATTGAGCATCTCTGGGGCAATTTACAAGTAGAAATTGCATTCGGGGCACAGTTTTAGCCCGTCAACTTAGAAACCTTGTTTTTAATTTGATAATAATAAGTCGATAAGTTCTGTGCCGAAACCGCACCCCAAACACGACCCCTAACAATCAGAGAAGATAAAATTAAAGAACACATCGTATGGAGCCGAATATTTACAAAAAATATTCAAAGTTGCCAAATACACAACTTTTTATAAATAGTGCAAAAAACGATTGTAGAGAGCTCCAGACGCAACTAAATGAGTATTCGTATTTGGTACAACAAAGAAAGTTTTATTCCGACAGTTACGTTTGGTCTTCCCTCAGCCGCGCCTACCTTTTACAATATGGACACAGTTTCCTCACAATTGACATGAAAATCATCGAAAACCGACTTAAACTAAACCCTATTAAAAAAATACTATACAAAAATCTCAATAAATAATCTCAAATTAAACAGTCGTCTCGACATCGTCGTTTAAACTAGTATTACTGTTGCAAGTTCGATGTCTGTACGTATGGTCGGTAACGTAGGAATTAATATCGGAATCAGAGAAACACGGACTATTTCGAGTGAGGCTAAAGCTATTTACAAAAGACCGTGATTGAGACGTTGCATCTTTTGGACCTCTTCTTATCTGTTGATATAAATCATCTAAATCATTTACACTACTAGCTCTACTTTGTACTCCTTTATGCAGATCGTGTGATGGATTGACGTATATCCTAGGAACTGACTCGGGCTCATCTTTCTTCAACAAATCCGTCACGGGAGACGCATGATCTGGACTCTTATCCAGAATCGAATCCGAGATATTCTCCGAACTATACTCCAAAGTACATTGTTGCGAAACCGACCTCATGTTGTTCTCGGGCGATTTATACCCCACATTGCACTTTTTCTTCTTATGTTTCGAGCTTTCCTTCTTCCGGAATCTCTCCGCGCTTAAAACTATATTCTGTACCGAGATATCCGGGCAGTCGTAGTCGTCAGGGCTATCCGAAAATATATTGGGGTTCTTCTGTTGTACCTCAGTAGTAAAGAAGTGATAGACCGAGAAAACCAATTCGCAGCTCACAATTATCACCCGTTGCCAGTAACTCTAGCGAAAGGACAAGGTAAACAATCAAAGTGCAACTTTATTGATACGATTCACAATCAATAAAAACTATTTACGTGTAGATAACACAAATGTTCACTTTATCTCCCTAGGTGTATTCGTGTGGGACGTCGAAGGCAAACGCTACTTCGACTACCTCAGCGGCTACTCGGCCAACAACTACGGCCACTGCCACCCCAAAATCGTAGAAACCCTTCAAAAACAAGCGCAAGTTCTCCACCACACCTCCCGAGCTTTCTACTCGGACGTCTTCGGGGAGTACGCCAGCTTTGTGACCAAACTCTTCGGCTACGACAAGGTCATGCCAATGAATACAGGTCACTTTTACCCCTCTTTCTGTACCAACCAAACTCATGGTCTCCTCTAGGTGTGGAAGCCGACGACACAGCTTGCAAAATCTCGCGAAAATGGGGCTACAAAGTCAAGAAAATCCCCAAAGATCAGGCCAAAATGATCTTCGCGGTGGATAATTTCTGGGGAAGGTCATTAGCGGCGGTTTCCGCCTCCACGGATCCTTTGTCTTTTGAAAACTACGGTCCTTTCATGCCTGGGTTTAGCTGTGTTCCTTATAACGACCTCCAGGCTTTAGAAGTGAGTGATGAAAAAGTTGGCGAAAAGTGTTACCTACCGACTTTTTTGTAGAAAGCGCTTCAGGATCCTTTGGTTTGTGGGTTCATGGTGGAGCCCATTCAAGGCGAGGCGGGGGTTGTGGTACCCAGTGAGGGTTATTTGAAAGGGGTGCGCACCCTTTGTACTAAGTACAACGTTTTGTGGAGCGCAGATGAAATACAGACTGGATTAGGGAGAACTGGGAAGAGATTAGCCGTGGATTATGAGGATGTTAAGCCTGATATTTTGGTACTAGGGAAGGCTTTAGGGGGTGGGGTTTATCCGGTGTCGGCGTGTCTGGCCAATGATCCGATTATGTTAGTAGTGGAACCTGGTAAGTACGAGCCCTAACAACTAAATATTGGGACACAGACAATTTCTCAAAAAAATCCGGTAGATATTTTTGATATCATTCAATTCGTTTGGACTAAATGCAAATTTTGCATGGGCATCTATTTTGGCAGAGAGTGAGGTATTTTGCAAATTAATAAATTTTCTTAGAGCGCAAAAATTGTCACCTAACTAAAAAATGTGCAATTTTTGCTGACATTTAAATGTTGGGACACCCGAGAAAATTTGCTAAGTATACCATCGAAATACAAACGTAGTAGCTGGTAAATGCTGCCATTATTATAGGGATCGTAGCATTTCATGCTAGTGTTGGTTTTATTTAGAAAAAAAAATAGTTAGCGGCGGGCTAGTTTTAGTAAAAGTTCTGAAAATAATAATTTCGCAGTACCTCAAGGGAAAATCGCTAAGAAAAAGTGAAGATTTGTTCCAAATAGCTTAGTCGTCGATGGTAAATGTCGTAAAATATTACACAGACAGAGGTACCATCGGAATAAAAGGTAAAATTCCCGGTAGGCCACCACTTGTGAAGCCGCGTGATCAACAACAACTGATGAAAATTTATAAAAGTGGACGACGGAGTACTTTAAGAGAAATTACTACTTGCTGGAATAGTGATAACCAACTAAATTTTTCAAGACAATATTGCCGCGAATGCATACACAAATCAGGCCTTGGTTTTTACATTGTAAATCTTAAATAAAGCTATCTTTGATGGACTTTATTATTTATTTATATTATTTTAGGCTAAAGTAAAACCACAATTAAAAACTGCCCACAAGAAAAATCGGTTAATATGACCAAAATAAAAATCGGAGAAAAGTGATATATAACGCTGAGTCCAAATTTGATGTCTGGGTGAGGTAATAGTCGAAAAAGAGTTATTGAAATAAAAAAGGAATTTTAATATGGATTATCTCAAACAAAGAGTCAAGTTTGCAAGCGGAAAAATGGTTTGGGGGTGCATGTCTATTAACGGAATTTAAAGACCAATTAACAACGTTCATGGAAGGGAAATTACAAATTCAAACAAATATCAAGAGACTTTGTAAAAAAATATTAACAACTACTGAAGCAGTCTATCCTGTTGATATTTATATTTTTCAACAGGATGATGCTTCAAGTTACACACCTACAACACTTATTACAAAGAATAATAATATAAATGTTTGCCCTGATTATCGAATAGCCCAGATCCTAATCTAATACAGACGGTATGGCGTGAAATAAAAAAATATTTAGGAAATCATCCGTGACAAGCGATTGTCAATCTTCAACAGGAAATTTAGCGAGTGTAGGATACAGTAACGACTCCTGTGTTTTGTAGAAAATTAGTTGAAAGTATGATGGCAAGAATTTCTGCAGTTATTAAGGCAAAAGGAGATATGACCAGTCACTGAATTTGCTGTGTCCCAATATTTATGTGTCACAAAATGTTACGTTGTTTTAGAGTTTTATGTCACTGTTTGAGTTAGAAATCAGTTTTTGTTGTGCTCTAAACATTAACAGTTTTGCAAAACGAATTAATTTTAAAATTTTAATTATCTAAAATAAATTACATTTTTGTTAAAAAGTTTGGTGATTTTTTTATAAAAATTTTTTGGTGTCCCAATATCTAGTTGTTAGGGCTCGTACTATGACGTCACCGGACAAATGTGACCTTTTTTGTTTCCAGGTACACACGGTTCCACCTTTGGTGGCAATCCGTTGGGGTCCAAAGTGGCAATCGCGGCCCTCGAAATCCTCGAGGAAGAAAATTTAGCTAACAATGCTTTCGAACTAGGGGAGATATTCCGAACAGAACTGAGAAAGAAATTAAACAAAAACATCGTAATTGAAGTCAGAGGAAGAGGGTTATTAAACGCCATAGTCATAAACAAAAGTAAGTCCTTGAAAATAAAATTGTTTCAATTAAATCAAGTGTCACGACAATGACAGATCCTTGATCTTCGGTAGAATTATCACTGCTGCAGTGTATTTTTAGAATGACAATAAAAATTTCCATTTGAGTTAAAAAAAAAATAATAAAGATACCGGGGTTATCGTTAATTCGTAACTTAGGTAATAATACTTTTTAGATCACATTGAAGCTTGGGATATCTGCTTAAAACTGAAAGAAAATGGTCTGATAGCAAAACACACCCATGATAACATCATCAGGTTCGCCCCACCGCTGGTAATAACTAAGGATCAACTCAAGGAATCTGCCGACATCATTGTACGAACGATCAACGGTATTGAAACCAACTGAGACAAAATTATGTTTAATAATGTTGTACATTTGTTGTTCGTTGCGGTAATTGTTAATAATTATACGTACTGATCTTTACTAAAAATAAAATTTTATTAAGTTCGTACGCACGAATTTTTTTCACAAGCTAAAACTGGAACGAAGAAGGGGTGGGTGGGAGGGGCTAGTATTTGTTAAGATAAGATTGATTTTGGTAAATGACATCCTCTAAAAAAGGGGTGGGTGGGCGGGGCTAAAACTTGGTAAGAAAGGACTGTATAATACTAAAAGTAGTCACTGGTACGAAGAAGGGGTGGGTGGGCGGGGCTATTGCTTGCTCATAAAACTAGAAAAAGCTAAATTTAGCCCGGCTCAGCTCCTTTCTCCATTTCACTGACTTATTTTATTTAGTGTAAAATGGTAATTAAAAAATAACAATGAACAATTTCCAACATTTTCTGCGAAAATGGAGTGAGCCGTTCCTGATTTAATGAATAAAATAAATTGGCCAATTCATTAATTTTTTTGAGCCACCTGTTCAAGAAAATACAAAAAATATTATTGCAATGATAAATAACAAGTAAAAACTCATCATATTTTGGGTAGAAATTATTTGGCAAAATTTGGAGATGATGTCCTCAATTTTTTGGGGGGAATAAACGGATATATTCTCACTCACACCCTGTATTTTTATTAGTACCGTTTTTGTTCGTATTCTTCTCTCGAGAAATCGAAAAACTTAAAATTTTAAAAATTGAAAACTTAAAATATCGAAAAGTTGAAAGATTGTGAAAACCGAAAGTTGAAAAAACGAAAAAACTTGAAAAATAGAAACATCGAAAAATTAAAAAACTGAGACAATCAAAACATCGAAACATCCGAATCTCGATAAATCGAGTTCTCAAAAAATTGAAAACTCGAAAAATTCACAAATCGAAATATTATATAAAACAGTCGAAAATTGAAAAATCTTGATTGAAGAACTGAAAAATCGAAACTGCGAATTCGAGAAACGGTAAAATAAAAAAAAATATATATTACTTAATCGAAAAATCGGAAAAGTGAAAATTTTGCAACGTCAAAATTTGAAAAATTGTAAAATAGAAATACTGAAGACCTGGAAAATCAAAAAATCCAGAAATCGAAAAATCTAAAATTTAAAACATTGAACAATTGAATTATCGCAAAATTGAAAAATGGAGAAATCCAAACATCAAAGAATCAAAAAAGAAAAATTCAAAAATTTAAAACTTAAAAATCGAAAAATCGACAAACCGAAACCGAGAAATATGTCTTTTAAAAAAGTAGCTTATAATTAACTTTAAATTTCGAAAATTGAAAAATTCAAATATGTATAGAAGAACTGAAAACTCGAGAAATCGAAAAACCTAAAATTTTAAAAATTGAAAACTTAAAATATCGAAAAGTTGAAAGATTGTGAAAACAGAAAGTTCAAAAAACGAAAAATTGAAAATCCAAAAAGTAAAAAGTCGAGAAATCGAAAAATCCAGAACGTGAAAAATCCAAAAGTCGAAATACTAAAAAATCCCAAAATTGAAAAATTGAAGAATCGAAAAACTGAGAAAACACAAAATTGAACGAAATATCCAAAAATTGGGAAATCGAAAAATTGAAAAACCTGGAGCCTGAAAATGGAAAAATTGAGGAACTGAAAAACTGAAAACTCGAAACCTTGGGCAAGTCGAAAATGGGCAAATCAAAAAATAGACTAATTGAGAAATCGGAAAACTGAAAATTCAGAAACGTCAAAACTTGAAAATTAAAAAATTTGGAAAATTGAAAAATCGGATAATTCAAAAATTGAAAAGCCGAAAAGTAAAAAACATCGAAAAATTCAAAAACTGCGACAACCGAATCTCGATAAATCGAGTTCTCAAAAAATTGAAAAATCGAAAAATTAAACATTCGGAAAAAAGAAAAATATTCAAGAACTGAAAACTCGAAAATTCCAGAAATCGAAAAATATATATATATATATATAAAATAGTCGAAAATTGAGAAATTAAAAATTAGCCAACCGAAAAATCCAAAAATCGAAGAAATAAAGAACTGAAAAATCGAAACTGCAAATTCGAGAAACCGGAAAATCAAAAAAAAAATATATTAATCGAAAAATCGGAAAACTAAAAATTTAGCAACGTCAAAATTTGAAAAATTGTAAAATAGAAATACTGAAGAACTGGAAAATCAAAAAATCCAGAAATCGAAAAATCTAAAATTTAAAACGTTGAACAATTGAAATATCGCAAAATTGAAAAATGGAGAAATCCAAACATCAAAGAATCAAAAAAGAAAAATTCGAAAATTTAAAACTTAAAAATCGAAAAATCGACAAAACGAATCCGAGAAATCCAAAAATCGAAACATTGAGAAGTAGAAAAAAATTGAGAAATTGAACAATCAAAACATCCAAATTCTGAATTCGATAAATCCAGGAATAAAAAAAAATGAAAAATTTTAAAAAAGAAAAATGAAAACATCGAAAAGTTGAAAAAGAATTGAGAAATCGAAGTATAAAACTGTCGAAAATTTGAGAAATCTAAAGTTTAACGAAAAATTGAAAATCCAAAAAGTAAAAAAGGGGTGGAAACCCAAAAACTTCAAACTGAATAATTTAAAAATAGGAAAATCGACGAATTGGAATCGATTGGCCTGAAAATTTGAAAAATTGAGTAAACGAAAAATTGGAAAATCGAAAGAAACAACAAAAATTAAGGAAATGAAAAAACAATTGTGATATAAAATCGAGAAAATGAAAAATAAAAAATCAGGAAAATGCAAAATAAAAATCGGGGAGAATGTGAAAAATGGAAAAAATGAGAAATTGTAATGTTGAAAAATTATAAAATTTGGAAGTCGACAAATTGTAAGATTGAAAAATCAAAAATAAAAAAACGAACAAGTCTATAATAAAAACTTAAAAAATGTACAAAGTGTAAATCAAACTTGAAAATTTGAAGAAAAATTGCTAAAAACCTGAAAATTTGAAAAATTTAATAAAGGAAAAATTGTAAAATAGAAAGAAACAACAAAAAATAAAGGAAATCAAAAAAAGGAAAATTGTGATATAAAATCGAAAAAGTGAAAACAAAATCGGGAAAATGAAAAATAAAAATCGAAAAATTGAAGGAACGAAAAATTGAAAATTTTGGAAGTTGAGAAATTGTAAAATTGAAAAATCAAAAATAAAAAACGAAAAATTACAAAATAAACTCTTGAAAAATCTTAAGAATCGAAAAAGTGAAAAATAAAAAAAAGAAATATGTATGTATAATGAAATAGAAATATTTAAAATTATATTAAAGAAATTGGAAAATCGGAAGAATGGAAATCCAAAAACTGCAGTGAAAAATTTAAAAATTGAAAAATGGACGAACTGAAAATTCAAAGCCTGAAAAATTGAACAAATGCCAAATTATAAAATCGAAAAAAAAAACACAGAAAATAAAGGAAATGAAGAAACGGACAATTGTGATATAAATCGAGAAAATAAAAATTAAAAATTCGCCACACTGAAAAATAAAAATCGGGAACATGAAAAATTGTAGAAACGAAAAAGTGAGAAATTGAAAATTTGAAGAAACGAAAAATTGAAAAATCGAAAGGAACAACAAAAAATAAAGGAATTGAAAAAATGAAAATTTGTGACATAAAATCGAGAAAATGAAAATTTAAAAAATCGGGAAAATGAAAAATAAAAATCGAGAACTTGAAAAATTGAGGAAACGAAAAAATGAAAATAACAAAAATTAAAAACTGAATGTGAAAAATCGAAAAATGAGAAACTGTACTATCGAAAAATTGCAAAATTAAAAAATTGCAAATCGAAAAATTGAAAAATTTAGAAGTCAAGAAACTGTAAAATTGAAAAATCAAAAATAAAAAAACGAAAAAGTTTATGATGAAAACTTGAAAAATGTCAAAAGTGAAAATCAAACATGAAAATTTGTAGAAACGAAAATTTGAAAAATCGAAAGATTAAAAATTGAAAAACTTAAAATTCAAAAAGTGAAAAATAAAAAAAAAGAAACCAAACCAGGCCGAGTGATACCACGTTAAGCAAATCTAAAAAATTTGAATGAAATGATAAATCGCATATTTTGTACATTTTAGATAGGATTTATTCCGCAAACTTTTGAGCTGTCATCAATTTTTTGGAGGGGATAAGCAAATATATTTTGATTAAAAATGTAATATGCTTATCATAAATTTAAAACATCTGCAAGATTTCAAAGCTTTCGGTTTTCCAGATTCAAAATTAAATTGCAAAATGTTTTTTAATTTTGATTTTTTTTTTTTCAAAAATCTGGTTTCGGATAAAAGTTAACACGGTGTCATAAACTAAAACCCATTTACTATGTACAATCAACAATTTGACAACAATCGGCCCAGGACTTTCGGAGATTATCTGTCTAATAAAACTAGATTTAAGTGCTCTGTAAATGCATTTATTCTTTTTCAATCATCGAATACAATAATCATTTACACAAAGAGATAATATTATTAACAAACAGTATTTTCAGCATTTGTATATCATTTTAATACCTAACAGTCTTTAAAATATTGTACATATTGTACTCTTTCATTTAATACTTACAACAGACTGCCTTTGCGTCAACATCAAATGACATAATCTCAATGCATGCGCAAGAAAATTACTCAACCTGGCAAGTACATTACAAAAGCTCGGTAAGCTCTATAACATGTAGTTTGTCTATAAATTAAAACCGTTTAAAAACGAAGAGTTCTACTGAACGTAATTACTATATCACAGGATACGGCTCGCACTCAGGCGAGACATAAAAACGTAAAACTCCAATGGCGGAAGATTCGTGTATAACCCAACTTACACAGAAACCTTCGTATCAGTTCTGATCCTAATCAAAAGTGCACACGATTAGCTTAATTATAGGCTACACTTCATAGAAATAAATACTCTTAATTGTACTAATAATGCACGTTTCGATGTATAATATCCATAAATCGCATACAAAAAATATATGTTATACAATAAAGTATTTTTAGCTAAGTACACACTGTTAAAACAAAGCACACAAAGTACAACGTATGCCGTTACAATTGAGCATCTCTGGGGCAATTTACAAGTAGAAATTGCATTCGGGGCACAGTTTTAGCCCGTCAACTTAGAAAACTTGTTTTTAATTTGATAATAATAAGTCGATAAGTTCTGGCCCGAATTGCACCCCAAACACGACCCCTAACAATCAGAGAAGATAAAATTAAAGAACACATCGTATGGAGCCGAATATTTACAAAAAATATTCAAAGTTGCTAAATACACAACTTTTTATAAATAGTGCAAAAAACGACTGTAGAGAGCTCCAGACGCAACTAAATGAGTATTCGTATTTGGTACAACCAAGAAAGTTTTATTCCGACAGTTACGTTTGGTCTTCCCTAAGCCGCGCCTACCTTTTACAATATGGACACAGTTTCCTCACAATTGACATGAAAATCATCGAAAACCGACTTAAACTAAACCCTATTAAAAAAATACTATACAAAAATCTCAATAAATAATCTCAAATTAAACAGTCGTCTCGACATCGTCGTTTAAACTTGTATTACTGTTGCAAGTTCGATGTCTGTACGTATGGTCGGTAACGTAGGAATTAATATCGGAATCAGAGAAACACGGACTATTTCGAGTGAGGCTAAAGCTATTTACAAAAGACCGTGATTGAGACGTTGCATCTTTTGGACCTCTTCTTATCTGTTGATATAAATCATCTAAATCATTTACACTACTAGCTCTACTTTGTACTCCTTTATGCAGATCGTGTGATGGATTGACGTATATCCTAGGAACTGACTCGGGCTCATCTTTCTTCAACAAATCCGTCACGGGAGACGCATGATCTGGACTCTTATCCAGAATCGAATCCGAGATGTTCTCCGAACTATACTCCAAAGTACATTGTTGCGAAACCGACCTCATGTTGTTCTCGGGCGATTTATACCCCACATTGCACTTTTTCTTCTTATGTTTCGAGCTTTCCTTCTTCCGGAATCTCTCCGCGCTCAAAACTATATTCTGTACCGAGATATCCGGGCAGTCGTAGTCGTCAGCGCTATCCGAAAATATATTAGGGTTCTTCTGTTGTTTCCTGTGCGCATGCTCGACGTGTATGTTCGTGTTGTTCACTTTCGAGCTCGTGCCGAAAATACTCTGATCCATGCTCGAATTGTCTTTGACTTTTTTCAATTCCGACAGAACTGAAGTACTATCGCTATCGCGCTGACGCGGCACCAAGTTGTTCCGTTTCATCATGTGCCGCTTCTGTCTCTTGAAGAATTTCCGTGCCACTATACTCTGATGAGGGTTATAAAACACCTCCGCCGCACTCGTCGGGTTTTCAATAATATTCGGTATCACACTACTCCTATACTGTTGCCTATGCAACATAATCAAATTGACGTTGTTGATTTTTCCCTGGGACTCTACATACGGCGGCCCGTTCAAATCCGCCGCCGACTTAAGTATATTACTCGTGTGCGAATTCGACTTAGTCCGACTCGACGATCTACTACTAGACCTAGAAGTGACTTGCAGCTCAGCCACCAACGAATTACTAACCGGCGGCTGGATCTGAATATGTGGTACGTTTTGTGTGGCGTCTGAAACATTCCGCGTCCGAAAACACTGTTTCCTTCGAACGCACCGACTGAACAACACCCACTGACCCCTGACGTCACTCCGCGCAACGCAGTAGAAGAAAATAGTGAACGCGCTCAAAACAGTCGAAAAAACCGCGTAAGCTATACTGAAGATGTCGCTTTCAAAAGACACGAAACCGTACGGCTCTATAGTGGCAAAAGCGCAACTCACCCACGCCAAGCCATACAAAACGAGAAAAATAACGTAGGCTTTGAGTTGCGCCGAAGGCGCATGCTCTTGGTCTTCGACTTCGCTCGACGCGGTTTTGGAAGACGCGCTCAAGACGCTCCTGGTCTCCGGAATAGGGAAGTTGGGTTCTAGCAAATCCAAGTCGACGTTTTCGGTAGCTTGGGTACCTTCGCTCAAGTGACCGTTGGCGTCGATGCTGGAGATCGAACAACGCACCAACAGGAAAAAAATCCCTAGGAAGATTAACAAAATGGCGACGGGGACATAAAGCGCGCTCATTGGTGGTCCCATTCTGAGAAAACAGTAACTCGGAGAAGCGTAATCTTTGACGTTGATGGCGGCGGAGATGCCACAGACGATGATCGCCACCCCCCAACCCACGAAATACAACCCCAGAATGGGTTTCTTGATGGGTTGTTCGGACGGCAGGTCATCGTCTTGTAGCTCCATAACGTCGCTCTTACTCAACCTTTTGTACATACAGTTAACCCCTACGCACATCCACAGCACCGACGATAGGGTGAAGTAGTGCAAAATCATCCCCACGATCTCGCAGATACGTAAATCCTCGGTTTGGTAGATCCCGAAGACGTAGAAAAAACACAAGAGACACACCGCCACCCACAAATTAATCAAAGAGTGTTTCGCTTTCTTTGGCATCTGAATCGAGTGATAGGAGAAGAGGTACGTTAAAATCACCACCAGAAGAGACGCGAAAAGGATGATACTCCCTACGTAGATAGCCGGATGTGACAGTTTAAATCTGGCGCCCGAGTAGGTGTGTCGCAGGGTTGCCACGTCGTGCAAAAGCCCGTAGTAGCCAAAGTTGTGGCAATAGAACACCACGTGTTCTTGGTACTCGTGGCTGAACTGGCAACCTTCCGACGACCACGTGTTCAAGTGTGAGTCCCACCACACGGGAACCGGAGCCGCTCCTTCCAACATCTCTGGTACCTTTAGCATTACGAAAACCGGGTCTGTTAAGTTACTTACGTTGAAGTCTGCTGCAAATGAGGATGAAGTAGGTGGGGTTGAGTGTGTGTGGGAGTTCTTACCTAACTTGACTCCGACTACTGCGGAGATGACGTCTTCCTTGTCTTCGCGAGCCGAGTCGATTGGGAAGAATTTGTTGCTTGAGTACATTGCGATTAACACGTTGTATATTTTATCAGGTAATACGTATTCTTGGTCCTCGAGTTGCTCGAATAAAGTTTCGGGTATTGTGATTGAGGCTTCTATAGTTTTACCAGGTAGTTCTGTTATGTCGTTTTGGCTATCAGCTACGCAATAAAATAGATGCTCTGTTTTTTTCGACACGTCTACATACCAGGTACATCTTAGGTTGGAAAAGGCGTGCTTTTTTACGGGGAACATTTCGATGGCGATGTTGGACTAAAAAAAAAAAAAATGGGTTGTACAAAGGTCAGTCAAACAAAGCGACAAAAGACAAACTGGCGCCCGACAAAACAGCCTCGTCATGAAATTTTTGTAAATAAAAAGAAATTGTTATTAATTTTTGTTTAACATTTGTTTGAGACTATAGAGGTCTGGTCTGGTCTGGTCTGGTCTGGTCAGGTCAGGTCAGGACAAGCCAGGCCAGGCCAGGCCAAGCCATATTTCTTGGGCGATTGTGGAAAAATGGTTAAAAGTTTTCGAAGAAATGCAAGTGACTTCTGGAGTTCGAAATGTGTACAACAATCTCTTTCAGTCATTTACAAAAACAGTCGAAAAAGGCCGAAATTTTCAGAGGGGGGAGTGTTGAAAAATTGGGTCTTTGAAAAAGTTGCCTAAAAATTCACAAAAACTTCTCGGATATGGATCTCGACGTCCTGATTCTGAAAATATAGCATGTTCGTGGTCCTGGAGCAAGGTTTTGGAAATATTTCGTTTGAAACATAATTTTTTTTTTAATCTTAAAAATTGTCACATTTTTTTGTGCGATTATCGAAAAATAGTAAGTTTTAGAAGAAATGGAGCCGAAAATAACTTCAGCAAGTCAAAACCTACACAAAAAAAGAGACCGAAATTTTTTATAAAGGAGTAGTAATGAAAAATTTGGTTTTTGAAAAAGTTGCCAAAAATTCACAAAAAATTTCAGGGTCCTGATTCCAAAAATATGGCGCATTTAAAGTTCCCATGGAAGATTTTGGAATTATAAGGCTTGAAATCAAATTTTTTTTAATCTTAAAAATTGCCATATTTCAATTGGAGATTCTGGGAAAACGATCGAAATTTTCGAAAAAATAGGCCCGAAAGTAGCTTCTGGAGGTCAAAGTCCACAAGAAAATGTCTGGTTGAATTTCAAAAATGGTAAAAAATTAGCCGAAATTTTCATACAGTATTGAGAAATTTTGCTTTTAAAAGTTTCCGAAAAATTCTCACAAAATTCTGTTATATAGATTTCGGTGTACTAATCACAAAAATATAGCGTGTTTTGGGTCTCGGCGCAAGATTTTGGAAATATTCGATTTGAATTCCAATTTTTTTGAAATATCCTAAAAATTGCCATATTTCATTGGCGATTCTGGGAAAACAATAGGAATTTTCGAAGAAATAGGCCAAAAGTAGCTACTGGAGGTCAAAATCTACAAGAAAATGTCTTCGGTTGAATTTCAAAAATGGTCAAAAATAGGCCGAAATTTACATAAAGGCAGAAATTTTGCTTTTGAAAAAGTTGCCGAAAAATTATCAAAAAATTCTGTTACATAGATTGCGGCGTCCTAATTCCAAAAATATACCGCACATAAAACCCCGGTGGAAGATTTTGGAATTATATGTCTTGAAATCAATTTTTTTTTAATCATAAAAATTGCCTTAATTCAACTGGAGATTCTGGGGAAACGATAGGAATTTTCGAAGAAATAAGCCCAAAAGTAGCTTCTGGAGGTCAAATTCCACAAGAAAATGTCTTTGGTTGAATTTCAAAAATGGTTAACAATAGGCCGAAATTTACATACAGAGAAAAATTTTGCTTTTGAAAAAGTTGCCGAAAAATTATCAAAAAATTCTCTTACATAATTTGCGGCGTCCTAATTCCAAAAATATTGCGTACATAAAACCCCGGTGGAAGATTTTCGAATTATATGTCTTGAAATCAATTTTTTTTTAATCATAAAAATTGTCTTAATTCAACTGGAGATTCTGGGAAAACTATAAGAATTTTCGAAGAAATAGGCCCAAAGGTAGCTTCTGGAGGTCAAATTCCACAAGAAAATGTCTTCGGTTGAATTTCAAAAATTGTCAAAAATAGGCCGAAATTTACATAAAGGGAGAAATTTTGCTTTTGAAAAAGTTGCCGAATAAATATCAAAAAATTCTATTACATAGATTTCGGCGTCCTAATTCCAAAAATATAGCGCACATAAAACCCAGGTTTAAGATTTTGGAATTATATGTCTTGAAATTATTTTTTTTTAATCATAAATAGTGCCTTAATTCAACTGGAGATTCTTGGAAAACGGCAGGAATTTTCGAAGAAATAGGCCCAAAAGTAGCTTGGAGGTCAAAGTCTACAAAAAAATGTCTTCGGTTGAATTTCAAAAATGGTCAAAAATTGGCCGAAATTTACATAAAGGGAGAAATTTTGCTTTTGAAAAAGTTGCCGAATAATTCTCAAAAAATTCTGTTACATAGATTGCGACGTCCTAATTCCAAATATAGCGCACATAAAACCCCGGTGGAAGATTTTGGAATTATATGTCTTGAAATCAATTTTTTTTTAATCATAAAAATTGCCTTAATTCAACTGGAGATTCTAGGAAAACGATAGAAATTTTCGAAGAAATAGGCCCAAAAGTAGTTTGTGAAGGTCAAATTCCACAAGAAAATGTCTTCGGTTGAATTTCAAAAATGGTCAAAAATAGGCCGAAATTTACATAAAGGGAGAAATTTTGCTTTTGAAAAAGTTGCCGAGAAATTATCAAAAAATTCTGTTATACAGATTGCGGCGTCCTGATTGCAAAAATAAGTGTTTTTTTTTCTTAATATACATAGCCATCTTTTCACAAGAACAAACTTAATACATGGTTAAAATGGTACATTTTAACAAGGAAATATGGATTATGCAATTATGGGGCGGAGTCTAATATTTTAAGTTTTATGTTGTGAAAAGAAGTCTACACATATTGAAACAAAAAGGCAAAATGTAATGCCGCCCACCCGCCCTATCTCAATTGTGATGGTTTTCTTATTCGTCGCAAACCAAGGGGGCGGAGCGTAACTGCAAAATACTTATTTCTTTACAAGAAATTAAGAACATGTTTTTGAGTATCGTGTTGTTCACAGAATATTATGTATATTAAGGAAAACAGACAAGATATAAACCCCGCCCACCCACCCCATCTTAATTGTGATGATCTTTTTATTCTTAGAAACGTAACACACGTTTAAAATGGTAAATTTTTGTAAGGAAATCTGGATTTTGCAATTAGGCTCCGCCCCCTTGGCTCACGACGAATAAAAAAAACATCATCACAATTGAGGCAGGGCGGGTGGGGGGGCTATATTTTTAAATTTTTTCTTAATATGTGTAGACTTAGTTCGGAAACAAGAAACGTAAAACATGCCGAAAGTAGCTCGTGGAGGTCGAACCCTATTTGAAAATGTCTAGCTGAATTTCGAAAATGGCAAAAATTGGTCAAAATTTTCATAAAAATACTGAGAAATTTTGCTTTTGAAAAAGTTGCAGAAAAATTATCAAAAAATTCTGTTACATAGATTGCGGCGTCCTAACTCCAAAAATATAGCGCACATAAAACCCCGGTGGAAGATTTTGGAATTATATGTCTTGAAATAATTTTTTTTTAATCATAAAAATTGCCTTAATTCAACTGGAGATTCTGGGAAAACGATAGGAATTTTCGAAGAAATAGGCCCAAAAGTAGCTTCTGGAGCTCAAAATCTACAACAAAATATCTTCGGTTCAATTTCAAAAATGGTCAAAAATAGGCCAAAATTTACATAAATGGAGAAATTTTGCTTTTGAAAAAGTTGCCAAAAAAATATCAAAAAACCGAAAAATTTAAACGTGAAAATTTGAAAAATATAAACATGACAATTCTAAAAAACACGGAACACGGAAAAACCGAAAAATTGAAAAATTATAAAGAGTTAATAAACGAAACAAAAAAATTCAAGCCCTGAAAAATAGAAAAATTTTAAGTTTAAAACTAGAAAAATTGCAAATTGAAAAATGAAAGAAACAAAAAACTGAAGAAACGAAAAATTAAAATAAATTGAAAAATCTAGAAAATCGTAATCGAAAAATTCAAGACACAAAGAATAAATCAATAAAAGATCGAAAACCTAAAAACTAAAAAATGTTTATGTGAAAATTCGAAAAATTGAAGAAACAAACAACTGAAGAAACGAAAAATAAAAAAAAAATTCAACATTGAAAATCGAGAAACTGCAAACCGAAAAATTGGAACAAGGAATAAAAGATCGAAAACTCCAAAAATTTGAATGTGAAAACTCGAACAATTGTAAAAACAAAAAAATTAAAGATCGAAAAATCTAAAAATCGAACATTTTAAACGTGAAACTCGAGAAATTGATGAAACAAAAAACAGAAAGATGGAAAAATTAAAATTTAATATTGAATAAATGAAAAATTGAAACATCTAAAAGTATCTAAAAATTTAATAAACGAAACGTTAAAAAAATTCAAAACTCGAAAATAGAAACATTTTAAATTGAAAACTAGAAAAAATGCAAATCGAAAAATTCAAAAAATGAAAACTTAAAAAATTTGAAAACTGAAAAATCTAGAAAATCCAAATCGAAAAATTCAAGACATAAAGAATAAATCAATAAAAGATCGAAAAACCTAAAAACTGAAGAAACGAAAAATTAAAAAAATTTCAAAATTGAAAAACGAGAAACTGTAAACCGAAAAATTGGAATAGGGAATGAAGATCGAAAAATCGAAAAATTTAAACGTGAAAACTCGAGAAACTGCAGAAACAAAAAACACACAAATCAAAAATTTGAAAAATTTAAAGTTGAAAACTCGAAAAAACACAAAAAACGGAAAAATCGAAAAATTAAAAAGAATTAACAAACGAAACATAAAAAAATTCAAGCTCTGCAAAATAGAAAAATTTGAAATTGAAAACTAGAAAAATTACAATCGAAAAATAAAAGAAACAATAAACCGAAGAAATGAAAAATTAAAAAATTGAAAATTGAAAAATCAAGAAATTGTAAATCGAAAAATTGAAGAAACGAAAAAATAAAAGACCGAGAAATCTAAAAATCGAAAATTTTAAACGGAAAACTCGAGAAATTGAAGAAACAAAAAACAGAAGGACGGAAAAATTAAAATTAAATATTGAATAAACGAAACGTTACTTATTTCTCTACGAAAAATTAAAAACATGTTTTTGAGTATC